CCCACCATGTGCTGATCAATATTCAGTAAAGAGTCAAGAGGATCCTCTGGATCTTTCTCTCTCTCTCCCTATGCAATTCTTGTTCTCTGTAACTATCTCCTCACTGCTGGGATATTACTGAACTCTGTTTGGGTACCCCTTATAGCCGGCAGTAAGCTGGGCAACTATAGAGTTTATTTTCTCTTCCTTCAATCAAGGATTACTGTCCTGTGCTGCCTGCTATGTAATAAGTAGAAACCATTTCTTCATCTATTCTGTCAGTTTTAAATTTGAGGCAGGAGGGTTTATTTGGTGCCTGTTACTTCAATATAGACAGAATTGGAAGTGTAGAATTCTTTATAAGCCCAAAGGAACAAGATCCTTTTTTATATTTTGTTCCCTGGTTATTCCAAGTATTTGGAATTGTACCTGGCATATTAGGTACTCAGTAAATATTAGTTGAGTGGAATATTTGTTGAATAAGATTATATTTGAGAACTCCTTTAGCAATTATTTGAGTTTCTGATATGTGTCAGGCACTGATTATATAGTGGTGAATAAAACAGGTGTGATTCTTGCCTTCATGGAGCCTAGTGCCTCAAAGAGAAAGACAAATATTAATCAGCAAATAAACCACGTTTGTAATTATAAATTATGATAGCAAATTATAATTCCCCATGAAGGAAAAGAATGGGGTGCTCTGAGGGAGAAGCATGAGGAAAATCACTGGATGAGATGATCAGTGAAGGTTCTGTAAGAAGGCGATATTTCTCCTGATACCAGAGGGGAGAGAGGAAGCCAAGCTGTTGAGGGGATGAAGAGAAGAATGTTCCAAGGAATTGACTATGCAAAGCTCAGAGACAAAAAAGAATTTGGAGTTTTAGAAAATTAAAGGAGACGTGTGTGAGAGGGAAGAAGGCCACAACACGAAACTGGAGACAATAGCGGGGCCAAAACATGCACAACCCACAGGCTCTTTTACAAAGTTCTGGTATTCTAAAAATTACGACGAAGAATTATAGAAGGTTTTAAATAGGCAAGTGATACAACCCATTTATATTGCAAATATCTTTCTAGCTACAGCATGGAGAATGCTAATCCTGGCACAATTGTGAAAGCAGGGAAGTCATTTAGAACTGAGTTATTAATTTTTTTAATTTTATTTTACAGATGTAGGGTATAACTCAGGATTAGGTATACAAATGGTCATTGTACAGGTAAAGTTTGGGCCTCACTTTGGTCCCCACTTCGCTTGGTTTGAGATCAGGTACCCTGACTGATGAAGTATGCCTTTCCCCCTCCCCTGGCAGTTTCCCACTACTGCCAATCCCTTTCGTTTAGTATGATGATAATTGTCAGGGTCCGCTTATGAGTGAGAACTTGTACTCACTTCCTTGTTTCTGTGATAGTTCACAGAGTATCATGCCCTCGACCCGCTTGGTTGTCTGCTAAAGCTTATAGCTCCCTCCTCTGAATAATGTTTTTAAATTATAAAGGAAACTGTATGGAAGTAGAGTTCATTGGGATATTTTTATAAAACATATTTTAAATATTTTAAATAATATTAAAATATGTTTTAAATATTTAAAATATCAAATTTGTAGAAAATATGTGCTATAGTTATGGATATGTACTCCTTTATTAACTGATCATATAAGATCTAATAGTAGGCCTATAATCACAAAATGAACATAAATGCAGCGCTTAGATGTCTGCAATAACTATAACATAACTGAAAATATCTGACTCCTCACAGTGACTAAGTAACATGCAACTACTGTAGTGGATTGTCTATATTTCTAATGAAAGGAAATGTTAAATTTCCATTTGAGGTCCGTGAAAATAAAGGTATGATTTTTGTGTTATTGAAGTTCATAGACCACTCCTTAAATTCTATCCATGTAAAAAAATGTGGGACATATACACAACGGAATATTACACAGCCATAAGAAAGACAAAATTATGAACTTCACAGCAACTTGGATGGACTTAAAGTCTATAATACTGAGTGATCTATCACAGAAACAAAGAACTGAGTATCACATGTTCTCACTCATAAGTGGACCTTGAACAATTATTATAATGCTATAAGAAAAGGATTGGCAGTAGTGGGAATCTGCCAGGGGAGGGGGTCAGCACACCTCATCAACAAGGGCACCTGCATAATGAACATTTGAATACCTAACCCTGAATTGTACCCCACATCTTTAAAATAAAAAATGTATTAAAAAAAATTCTATCCATGGACCCATTAACAAACCCAAAATAATCACTTTATTTATGAGCTTATTTCAGTAATCATGAAGAGAGGAGATAGAGGCGAAAACTAGGGTAGTTAGTTGCAAGAGAGATAACAGGAAGGGGACAAAATTTGAGATATTTTTGGAGGAGGAATCAATAGAAAAGAGAGAGATTTTCTAGAGTTTTGGGGAAATTTTTCTTGGAAGAACTAGACCATGTGCAAAATGTTAGCAAGGAGAGTCAGAAAGTGAAAAGGTCAACTAAGCAGACTATCGCTGCAACTCATTGTAAAGTAAGGGTCAAAGTTGGCAGCCATACGAGAGAAAGGAGAAGCATTGGTGGAGATTAAGTAAGGAACACCAAGACTCACAGCCCAACTGCTAGCTTTTCATGAGCGATGGAACCTGGGAACGCTTACTTAATAAAGCCTCCATCTCACATATTTAAGATGAGGATGATAGTATCTTGTGACCCTTAATGTTGTTGTGAAGATTAAATAAGATACTTATGTAAAGCAGTTAGTACAGTTCTGATGCATAGCAAGGGCTGATAAATATTCACAATCATTCTCATTCATACTAAGATTCTGACACTGTGTTGGACTGTTGCCCACGGGAGATTGAGGAAGCAAGGTAAAACACATATTTCGAGAAGGAAACCATTCAGAATCAAGTGTTCAAATAGAAGATGTGAGTAACTCTAAGTTAACAATTTTGCTCAGCATAGCACTTTTTGCATCATAAGAGATTTGGGGAAATTGTGCCACATATTTGTGTGAGAGTGTTGCAAATGAGTAGGGATGGATGGTGCTGGATCTCGTCTGAACAAGTGGGTTTTAGATGTTACTAATTTACAGTCTCTGCTTCTTAAGAACAAAGCTTCTTTTTGGTGTAAGAGTGACCATTGCTTCAACAAGTAAAAAGCGCATGCACACACAAAAGTGATCTCAGTTCATTATGGAAATTCATCCTTTGTTTTCATTTAGGAGAGCTAAGATTTAAAAAGTCTTTCATCTTGTCGTAGCATCTCATAATTTCCATTTGAACCTTTGGAACTAGCCTTGCATTTGAGTAATTTGCATGTAGATGTCTACGGCTTAATGACAAAACATGAGGGTTCAAGTACTTTTTCTGCCACAAGCTTTGTTGTATGATATTGAACAACTTATGTCATCTGCTGAACTTACTTTTCATCTGTAAAAAAAGATAGTAATTCCTATCTCAGTATTATCATGAAGATCAAAAGAGAAAATTTAACTCAATGTGTGAAATAACATAGAACATAATAAAAACATGTATATAAGAACTATAATGTCTATTCAAGAATGAGACTGATTTTTATACAAATATACTTTGAACTGTGTTACCTAAAATTCATACCCACCTGAAATCTTAGAATGTGACCTTGTTTGGGAATAGAGTATTGTAGATGTAATAAATTAGGAGGAAGTCATACTGCGTTAGGGTGGCCCTAATACAATGACTGGTGAGATGGGAAATTTGGACACAGACAGACAGAATGCCACGTAAAGACAAACACACAGGCAGAGAGAATGCTATGTGTGTATACAGAGGCAGAGCCTGAAGTGATAGGCCCACAAGCCAAGGGTCACCAGGGATTGCCGGCAGCAACCAGAGGCTAGCAGAAAAGCACAAGACAGATTCTCCCTGAGAACCTCCTGTAGAAACCAACCCTGCTGACACCTTGATTTCAAATGTCTAGGCTCTAGCACTGTAAGAGCATAAATGTCCGTTGTTTGAAGCCCTCCGATTTGTGGTGACTTGTTAAGACAGCCAGAGGAGACTAATACACATGTCGGTACCTATACGTCTTTCTGCCAATCAGGATAGGCTAAGTTGTTGTGAGAGTCACACAAGGACCCCTTTCCTTCATACTTAGAGGCTTACAATGGCACGGACACATTTCTCACTCCTACCACATGTCAATCACAGATCAGCTGCCACTCCATACCTTGTTACCTTCATCAGGGAACATGGCAGACAGAGCAACCTTTCTCTGGAATAATGCCTCTCTCTGGTCTATGCCAAAGCAGAGAGTCCTTAAAGTTTAAGGGTTTATGGTATTAGAAGATGAAACTGATTCTTGTGTCTAGCTAGTAATTTATAAAGTTGAAGTATCCTTAAATAACAAAAGCCGGGAATAGTGACTCATGCCTATAATCTCAGTGTTTGGAAGGCTGAGGTGGAAGGATTCCTTGAGTCCAGAAGCTCAAGACCAGCCTAGGCAACATAGCAAGACCCCTCTCTCTACAAAAATTAAAAATAAAACTTAGCTAGGTGTGGTGGTGTACTTCTGACCTGTAGTTTCAACTACAGGGAAGGCGGAAGCAGAAATGACAAAGGTTTAATCAATTCAGCCCTGGGACAAGAAACAACTCAAAGGTGTGGCCACTACGCCATTTGTTAAAACCTCTGCATCAATTAAGAAGGCTCCTAGTAAATTATTTCAGCTGGAAAAAGTGGCAGAGGGAAAGCGCATGGCAAACTACACATTGGCTCTTGAAGCTTCTGCCCAAAAGTGATTCACTACATTGTACTCATGACTTGCTGACCAGAGCAAGTCTTATGTCACATGGCCAAGTCTGATGTCATCATGTAGGTAGGTAGACCCCACCTGTAGAGAGGGTCAGTGAATATCTTCACTTCACTTTCACACAGTGATAGAGCGAGGATTTTGCTCTAGGCCATTGGCTTCCAAAGCTTGGGTCTAGACTGACTGCACCTGATTACAGTTCCATTTGTTTCTGTCTTCCTTTCCAGGTGTCCAAGGCAGCTGCAGACTTGATGGCCTACTGTGAAGCGCATGCCAAGGAAGACCCCCTGCTGACCCCAGTTCCGGCTTCAGAAAACCCATTTAGGGAGAAGAAGTTTTTCTGTGCCATCCTTTAAGTCTCCAAGAGAAGCCGGAAGAGCCCCACGGGGCTCCTGGGACACCAATGTAGAGTTTTTAGCAAAGTGGGCACCTTTCTAGTCCACGGCATTTGAAGAGTGTGAGGAGAACCATCCTGGAGACTCCAGGCTGTGCATGTTTAAAGAACTGGTCCCCCTTATGAGAATGCAAGTCAATCCACGTCCTGAGTTAAGAGATCTGATCCTCCAGAACCGCCTGGAGGAGGGGAATCCATAAAAATACAATTGGAGTCACTTCTTTTCTGCTATCCTCCCCCCCAAAAAAACCCTTCTGTTTCTGCTTCATATTTTAAAAATAAAAATTAAAACAGCTGTACTGAGCTAAGAAGATACGTAAGACCTCCTTGGAATGAATATTGTCTTTGGAATACCCCTTGATAACCTGAGTTGTCTAGTGCAGCCACAGTTCGGTTTAAGGGCATTGATATTTAGTCTTTGTGCCTTTATTTTCTTTTTTCCGTCTCCCCTACCCCTCCTCCCACCCCTCCCCATTAGAGTAGTGTGGCAATAAGGCTGGACGTGTCTAGAAGGACAGGCATCAATCCAAAATGTTTAGGGAGATGTTCCCCGTGGCATATCCTCATGGTAACAACAAAATGCCGGTTGTCTATGTTCCCTTATCACTCTTCCTAACATGTGTACATGATAGCTTTGATTCTGCAAGTAAAAGTAAATCATGTGTTGTGACTGGTGCTTTCATATATTTGTGACAATTTTTGAGTAATAGTGCATGAAAATGTCCCTATGTTACATCCATTCAGAAGGTTTGTTGTTTTACTATAAAAGCTGGGAAAAGAAATGAGAGGGAAAAGACCCCGAAGAGGAAAAAAAAAACAAAAACCTCAGTATTTTGGAATTTGAGATGACTTCAGAGCCTTAGCCATGCCTAAAATACCTCCTGGTTAATAGTGGTGTAAATGCCTCTTCAATATATTTTCCAGAATCCAAATATCACCAAGCACGAAAGATCTGCTGTGGGTTGGGCAATGCTTTTATCGTAGAGTATGAGCAAATTCCCTCCTTCCCTCAATTACAGACATTCTAGAATGAAAGAGCACTTTCTGTGCTCTTAACAAGGAAACCATGGCCCTCCTTTGTATGAGTCTCAAAAGAAAGAAACCCATAGCTCCAGAAAAGGCAACTCGTTCTCAGAATCCCAGTTGTTCACCCGCCAGGGAGAAGAAACCCCAATTGCCAGTCTCTGAGTGGCAGGTGCAGTCCCCACAGCCAGCTCCAGCAGGAAGACTTCTGGCTCTTTGTTCCACTGAGATGATCTTGGTTTTTCACTCATCAAACTTTTTAATGGAACCCCTTCCTTGTTTTTGTTCTCTATCTCATTTGTTAAAGCCTCTCTATCTTTATTTACAACTTCCTTGCTGCTAGAGCACTTTCTCCAAGATACAGTATCGAGAGTGGTTTTTTATGGCAGCCATTCCCTCCATCATGAATGGCAGGCCCTGGACGTTTTTCTCACTTTTTTCTGTGTCATTCACATTTCAAAGAGGGGCTTCCTTACCCCTTGTTTGCTTTCAAATCCCAAAAGACCATTTCCCAATTAACTTTATTCTCCTCTCTTCCCTCTCCATCTCTTTTTCCTGTTTTTTGTTTTGTTTTGTCTTTTTGTAAAGGGGGAAAAAAGAAAGACTTAACATGCCAAGGACAGATTTTGAAAGACTTGGTAAATGTTTCCCTTAGCTCCTTCATGGGCATGCTGGTAAAAGAAGAAATACATACAATTAAGGCTCATACCTGAGGTAAAGGAGAAGAGGATATTGAAATGTTTGTGAAATGTATAAACATTTCTGTAACCAGGTACTTCTGTTGCAATTTTGGGATTGTGTTATAGTCAGTGGGACGCTGATGAAGATTTAGGGTGAAAAAACCTGGCAGAGTATTTACTTAACTACAGCATTGTACAATTAGTGTAGTAATACTGTGGAATCAGCTAAAACCACATCACTTTTTTTCTTTTCTTTTCTTTTTTTTTTGAGTCAGGGTCTCATTCTGTTGCCCAGGCAATGGAGTTGCAGTGGCATGGTCACAGCTCACCGTAGCCGTGACCTCATGGGCTCAGGGAATCCTTTTGCCTCAGCCTCCCAAGTAGCTGGAACTACTAGCAAACGCCACCACACCTGACTCATTTTTTTTTTTGTAGCGATGAGGATAAGGCTGAAACCCAGGCAGGTCTCAGATTCCTGGGCTCAAGCAAATCTCTGGCCGCAGCCTCCCAAAGTGCTGGGATTACAGGTGTGAGCTACCACACGTGGTCTCATATCACATTTTTTAAATGAGCGAAAACACTATTTGAATATGTATGTAGTCACATTAAAATGATTATGAATGAACAAAGCACTCTTTGGTGGTGATTAAGGCATCCTTAGAAGGCGCATATGATTTTCACAATAAACAGCATTTCTTCTCAGAAGGACTTTATATGTCCATGTAAATCTAGCTTTTTGGAGCAATTAAGATGGAATTAAAATTTTTAGGAAGTGTTTTAAGGAAAATGTTTTGGCTTTTTTTTTTCATAATTTTATGTCTTACAGTATGAAATTATAATACCAAAATCTTTATATGAGTTTTGGCTTATTGATATTTGTACTTACTCAAGGGGAAAAGTCTCTTGATTACTTATGCCTCCAAAGAGCTTAATTCTTTATAAATTAAACAATCATTTTCACCAGCATGGTTTTATCTTAAGGGGTAACTAATGGAAAAATTCAGCTTACTTATTTATTTAAAGCCCTAATTTCTATATACAGTATACTGGATAGTAATGGAGATGTGCCATGGAATTAGTTAATAAGTAGTAACAATATACTTCATATTTAGAATGCAAAGTCTATAAGGAAAAAATAATCTTACATTTTTTCAAGGTTAACTCCAGTTAAATTTGTTGTTTTTTAAAAATTTAAAACCAAGTAGTACTTAATTTAAATCAAAGGATGCAAATAAGTACTTTGATCTGAGTCTGATTTTGCTATTAATATTTGAAGAAGATTTCCTACCAAGGACAAATTAAACAATACATTTAAAAATTAAACAATATACTATTTCTCCATACGCTTATTCTTACATAAGGAGTTTTGAGAAAAATCAAGCACGCTGTCTTAAGGGATTTTTATACTTTCCTTTCTTCCTATATATCTGCTTCTAGCTGCTCCTGGCAATGATGAATTGTTACGTATACATTAGTGTTTTGCAGCCCAAGAATTGTTCACGTTTTTCCTATATAAGATCTGTGGAGTGTGTCTTTCAAAGAGAAATAGAGAAATGTTAAAGCAGGAAAACCTGAATGTGATGTGCACATTTTCACCCCACATGGACTATGTATGTGTTTTAATAAATGGAGTTTTCAGATTCATTTCATATGTCGTCAATTTCATGGCGAAGACCTGTGGACCACCTCACCTATGATTCCGTGGTTAATTTGAGAAAGATCTGATGATATAAATGGATGAGGCAGTAGGAACCCATTTATTTTCCTTAGGGTTTTGTTAATAAAGATGTCCTGGAGAAGAAAAAAAACTCACATGACACCTTTTAAAAATTTTATTTTATTATAGAGATGCGGCATACAAGTCAGGATTAACTATACAAGTAGGCTGCGTGTGGTTCAAGTCTGGGCCTCCAGCTGGCCCTCACTTCACCTGGTAAAGGACCAGATCCTCTCTGTGTTGTGGCGTGCCCTTCCTCCTCCTTCCCTCCCTCCCCTGGCAGTGCCCAGTGACTGCCAATCCCTCCCTTATGCTAATGTGATTAATGTTCAGGTCCCCCCTTATGAGAGTAAACATGTGGTATTCAGTTCTCTGTTTCTGTGATAACTCATTAAGTATGATGGCCTCCAACTCCATCCGGTTTGCTGAGAAGTACATGATTTTGTTCTCTCTCTTTTTTTTTTGGATGCATAATACTCCACCATGTATATGTACCACATTTTCTTTATCCAGTCTACTTTCGATGGGCAGTAGGGTTGGTTCCATGTCTTTGCTATTATGAAGAGTGTAGCTATAAACATTGAGGTGCAAGGGTCTTTTGGATAGAACATTCCCAGAAGAGGTACTGTTGGAGCATATGTTTAGTTCTTTTAGGAATCGCCACACCGCTTTCCATAGAGGTTAAACTAGCTTCCACTCCTACCAACAGTGTATAAGCATTCTCTTTTCTCTGCACCCATGCCAGCATCTGTTGTTTCTTGATTTACTAATGATGGCCATCCTTACTGGAATTAGATGGTATTTCATTGTAGTTTTGTTTTGCATTTCTCTGATGATTAGTGAGGCTGAGCATTTTTTCATGTGTCTGTTGGCTGCTTGTGTGTCTTCTTTTGAAAAGTGTCTATTCATGTCCTTTGCCTACTTTTTAATAGGATTGTTTGTTTTTTCCTTTCAGTTCATTTGAATTCCTTGTAGGCCTGGATGTTAGGCCTTTGTCAGAGACATAATTTGTAAATATTTTTTCCCTTTCTATGGGTTGGCTTTTTACTCTCTTGATGGTTTCTTTTGCTGTGCAAAATCTTTTCAGTTTGATGAGGTCCCACTTGTCCATCTTAGTTTTGATGGCATTTGCTTTTTGGGATTTGGTCAAGAACTCATTGCCTACTCTGATGTGCACAAGAGTGTTTCCTACATTTTCTTCTAGGATTCTTATAGTTTGAGGTTTTATGTTTGGGTCTTTGATTCATTTAGAGTTTATTTTTGTATATGGTGATAGGTAGGGGCCCAGTTTAATTCTTCTGCATGTGGTCAGTCAGTTTTCCTAACACTATTTGCTAAATATGATCTCCTTTCCCCAGTGATTGTTATCAGTGACTTTGTCAAAAATTAGTTGGTTGAGAGCCCAAGTTTTTGCTTCTGGAATCTCTCTCCTGTTCCATTGGACTATGAGCCTATTCTTATAACAGTACCAGGCTGTTTTGGTTACTGTAGCCTTGTAGTAAAGTTTAAAATCTAGAAGTGTGATACCTCTCACTTTGTTCCTTTTGTTGAGGATTGCTTTGGCTCTTAGTGCGCTTTTTGTTGTTGTTGTTTCCTTGTGACTTTCTGTATTGTCATTCCAGGTCTGATGGGTATTGCATGGAGTCTGTAAATTGCCTTGGGTAAGATAGACATCTTGAAAATATTGATTCTTCTGATCCATGAGTATGAAATTTTTTTTCATTTGTGTCATCCTTGATTTCTTTGAGCAGCATTTTGCAGTTCTCATTGTAAAAATCTTTCACTTCTCTGGTTAGGTGGGTACCAAAGTATTTCATTTCTTTGTGGTTATTGTGAATGGGATTGTGCTTTTTATTTGGCACTCTTTCTACCTGTTGTTGGTGTATAGAAATGAGACTGTCTTTTACACACTGATTTTGTACTCCAAGACTTTACCAAAGTTGATTATCAGAGTTAGAAGGCTTTTGACAAACTCCCTAGGATTTTCAAGATACAGAATCATATCAAGCATCCAGTTGAGGTTCCAGATCTCCTTGTTGGTTTTTTGCCTCGATCACCTATACATGACATGTTTTAAAAGCCTTTCTCCTTGGGTCTCTACATCTCAGGTATAGCCCTTTGGGACAGAGAAGGGTAGGAACTTGATGGAGAGTCCAGGGCTCTGGCAGATTGGACCACGCAGACAGATGAGCTGTATTTGTACTTCAACTTGCTGTGGGTATGCCACAGTGGGATTTTTTTATGAAAGAA